CGTGGCTGGTGCCACATAGGAGCTAGATTTGAGTTCATGTGAATGTTACGTTCAGCAGCCACGTGTGGCTGGTGGTCCCTGTCTTGGGTTGCAGGATTCTAGGCCTTTGTTGCCCTCAAGTCAGGGGTTGGGGGGGCACTGTCTTCTGGAGGGGCTGCAGGTGATCAGCAGAGCTTTTGCTGGTTCATTATACTCCCCGCAGTCTGGGTGGATTCTCACGCTGGGTCACGGCCGGGCTCCCGAAGCGGCCCGTGCTTGCTGGGAGGTCTGGGTGACCTCACCGGGGCAAGCCTGGGGCTCAGCCAGCTGCTTCCTGGTACCAGGTGAACCGCCCACGCGGCCTCCTGTGGCGGAGCGCTGGGTCCTTGCGAGCTGCAGTCCAGTATCTAGCTGCTCCTGGCTGATGGGGAACGGCAAGGATCCCATCGCTATTAGCAGAAGCAATGGTGCTCCGGAAAAACTGGGAGCCGCTCTCCACCTTCTCTGTCACTAAGGAAATGCAGACGCTGCGTCCTCGGCCCTGGGGGCCTGGGCGGCCGCCCCAGGGTGCCCTGCAGCCAGGCTGCGGGGTCCTGGCAGGTGAGAAGGGCCGGTGGTGTGTCTCCACAGAGGCCCGCCGTCCCCACTGGGGCTAGGAAAGCTTGCTGGCTGTCTTCTGCGGGGGAACTCAGGGTTCCTACGGCTTCTTTGGAACATTCGAGAGACGAAATATCCTAGTGCCCTGTCCAGCACAGCAGGCCCTCCAGGCCGGCAGGTGGCCCTGGGCTCTCTGGGAAGGAAGGGAAAGACTACGGGCTTTTTAGTCAACTAAGTTGTCCGGTTTCTGCTTGGTTGTGAGGAATTTCTGCTTCTTCCATGGTAACCACTGGTCTGATTGAACAGTTCCCCACATTGTCCGTGACCCTGAAAAGGGCCTAGAATTCAGTGCCTGCATTGGACTGGCTCTTAGAAGTGTGGCCGGAGAGTGCCTGAGGCAACACAAGGTACCCCGTGCCTGGCTCCTCCGCTTCTGATCCCGCTTCCTGCTAATGCACACCTTGGGCGGCAGCCGTGATGGCTCAAGTACTTGGGTCCCAGGGCCAGAGTTCCTGGCTCCTGATTTGGCCCGGGCACCAGCAAGTAAAAGCCAATGGGCGGGAGCTCTCTGCCTGCCTGTCTCTCTCTCAAGTGAATGAAATAATTAATTTCTTAAAATACAGCTCTAGGGGCAATATAAAAACATTATATTTCTGGGGCTGGCACTGTGGCACAGCGGGTTAAAGCCCTGGCCTGAAGCGCCGGCATCTCATATGGGTGCTGATTCTAATCCTGGCTGCTCCTCTTCCAATCCAGCTCTCTGCTATGGCCTGGGAAAGCAGCAGAAGATGGCCCAAGTCCTCGGACCCCTGCACCCGCATGGGAGACTCCGAGGAAGCTCCTGGCTGGCTCCTGGGTTTGGATCGGCGCAGCTCCGGCCGTTGCAGCCATCTGGGGAGTGAGCCAGCAGACGGAAGACCTCTCTCTCTGTCTCTACCTCTCTCTGTAACTCTTTCAAATAAATAAAATAAATCTTAAAAGAAAAAAATAAGTAAATAAAATACAGATCTAGAAATCTGAGAAGTTGCTTTCTCCCCAGAGGTGCTCGCACACCCCGAGGCAGTTTACAAGGTAATCCGTTGAGGCCCCCTGGTTCCCAGGACCACCCATGAGATAAGCACCCTAGTGATATCTCCCTCGGGAGAACGGAAGTGCTTAGGAGTCAAGGGGCTGCCAGAGTTGACACAGTTAATGCTTTCTGTCCTGCCAGGCCACAAAGGCCGGTGGAGCCAGGAGGTACCCCCAAAGGAGCGTCTCCGCAGAGGCCCGTGCGGCAGCCCTCTGTCTTGGAATGACACGATACGCGGCTGCGGCAAGGAGACGGGGTGATGATGCAGCAGTGTGTCTGGGCACCTCCCACCCAGAAGCAGGTGTCTGGAAATGGGGGCCTTGACACTGGAGCCATAACGTGGTGGTAAGTGCCTCACTTGTCCCAGGCTCATGAGCATGGCGACAGTTTGAGTCTAGGTTAAGGAACACGCGAGTGGCGAGAATGGCAGTGCGGGAGGCGGGCCCGGGCCAGGCTCTGAGGCGCTGCCCTCACTCGGCCACGCAGGCACAGCAGTGCTGGGCACTGAGAGGCAGAGCACAGCGGGGAGTGTGCAGCCACCAGGGTCTGGTGGAAGGAGGTTTCCCGGGGAGGGGGGGCCTTGCAGGTCTCACCCCGTCTCCCCAAAACACATCTTTGTCCTGCCCATTCTGTTCAACCAAGGGTCCCGAGCTGCTCCGGTGCCTGGTGTGACGCTGGGTACACGGGCCTCTGGAAACCGGATCTGCCTGGCCCGGTCTACTCTGGGGGACACAGCCTTTCAAATTTCTTTCCTCTCCTACAGGCTTTGGGGCACTTGCCCCAGAACTACCCTGGCATGGTGGGCTCCAAGGAGAGAGGTTTACCACCTTCTGCATTCGTTCCCTCTGGATCTGAGATACGGCACGGCAGCCCCAGTCAGATTGAGGAACAATCGATTTCAGTAGAAATTTGGGTGAAGGCCCAAATCTGGAACCCACGGCCTTCCTGGGGTGGGAGACCTCCTGGATTCGACTTGAGTCTCTAAGGGGTCTCTGGCTTCATTTCCACCAAGCAGGAGCCAAAGCGTCGAGCCAGGTGACGGGACATTGAGCACACGAGCACACGCATCCAGTGGCAGGGGGAAGGGAGGTGTGCGACACATTCAGTGGCAAATTTTGTTGGGAACAATTCTGATCTCGTCATCTTTGAGACAGAAGACAGCGCCCTGAAGGTCTTGCACAGTCATAACTACCCTGGGGCTAACATTTTATAAAAACAAACGAGCTGACGTTTGCAACGTCTCGCGTCCTCGGTGCGCTGCTGCCCAAGGACGCCAGGCAGGCATGGGGGGCCCTGGCCTCGAACTTCACAAGTACTCAGCTCTGGGCACCCTACCAGGCATTTTCATCTTTACACTGTGTCAGGTGTAAGTGAATAATAGCACGAAAAGTTGGAAAATAAAATTCATATCATCCGCGATGATAGAAGCTATTTCACATAATTACTTCTATACGCACAATCACGTCCCTCTTTCAAAGTGGTCTGAGTGTTTTGCAGTGGTGATCTTGAAAAGGACTCCTTTGTATAGCAGGGAGAAGAAAATCGTAGGGATCTGACAAAGGAGCTCAGCCCTCCTAACGCCTCAGAAGCATGAGGCCGTCCAGAATGGCTGTGGCCACGCACGTGGGTCTGTGTGAAAACAGGGGACCCCAGCTGCCTGTTTGTTTAGTAGTTCCAGTCTGGGAAGATTGCTACATGCTACTGTAGCTGCAATTATATCGCATTGTTTCAAATCTGTCCTTGATTTTGTTTCTAAGTGTAAGAATGCAAGGATTTATCTTACTGCTAGAAAACGTGTTGTCCTAGCCAAACTAGACTTAATTCTTGGATTAATCTTACTCCCTAAATTTACTCAGCAGTAGGCATTATATTTAGTCCTTGACTAACAGGAAAAGATGCAGGAGACGTGTTCTCCATGCTGCCAATACTGTGAAATGGCGTCTTTCACCTTCAGACTCTTGGTAAGATGTTTTATCGTGTGGTTTTATAACCCTTAATAGGGATCCAGCTCTCTCCCAGGGATACACCTACATCCATAAACATCAATCATTGATGTTTTTAAGGTGTCCTTTGAACTAAATAACCATGGAGTGAACATCCCAGATTAAAAAAGAAATCCCAACAAGAATTTGATTGATACCAGGTATCCAGGATCTATCTCCAGGACCCATGCTCCCCACGGGCAGGAAAGAGAGTCCCTCCTCTAGTGTCTGTTTTGGGCATAAAATATTAAATAAGAATTCATAAAAGGCATATTACTCATCTTAAATCAATTCACCGTGCTCACAAACGGGACTGAATGCAGCTTATGGTGGTTAGCTCCGAGCTGGGCTAAGTAAAATTCTTAGACAGATAAGACCTTAAACATGAGATATGATTGGATGGCTTGGCAGGGCAGAGTGCACTCCTGGGGTCAGACTGCTTGACATGGAATCCCCATTCCACCATGCACAGGCCATGAAATCTGAGGTCAAGTTTTCTCATCTATAAAATGGGGTGTATACACACACACAAGGGTACTTCAAAAAGTTTATGGAAGCCATTAAGTCTTTGATTATAATGTAAGTTTAAAAATATTATCTCCAAAAAAATTGAAATAAAGAAAAAGGAGAGGAAAAAATTCATGGACAGAGGAATTAAAGTATGAATTAATTTTAGTGAAAAAAATTGCATATACATTGAAACAAAGGGTCTTCAAGAAGTTCATGAAAGATGCATGTTACCAAAAAGCTATGCGTGGATTTCAAAATACTTTACACCAAAACAAACTTATAATTCCTCTTTTCTACATATGTTTCAAGTACCTGTGTACTTGTGTATGTATTTATGTACACAGACATAGTAGACCATTACCTGTAGACACATACATTTCTGAGACTTCAATAAGCCAACAGGCATTAAATGCTTTGCAGTGTCCTGGAACATGGTAACGATGACTCCTATCATCTTCACTGTGTTGCTACTGCTATTTATTACCACCCTGAACACAAGTATTCAAACAATTGCTGGTTATCACATGATAGGTTACTGATGTATTGTATACTCACCTCCTTTGTTTGAACTAAAAATTAGATCCAATAACACAGTGGGAAAGACCATGAGCCATATGGCCTGAGAAAGCCCAGGGCCTCTGGCTCTTCAAATACTCTCCACATCAGACCCTTTACCTACAGGAAGGAGGCCACACGGCCCAGGGCAGGGGGCAGAGTCCAGGAGGGGCACCCTTGGCCCATCCTGCCCCTGCCTCTTCCTTTGGCAACATCTCCCTTTTGAGCCAGCCTTTTGTTAAGCAGTACACACACACGCACACACACACACACGGTAGCAGGAGAGAATCTTCCAGAATTCTCCATACCTGTTTGGAAGATGATGTGCTTGAAAACCGGGATCTCTCAAAGCTCACCTCTTGCTCCCAGAACTGATACTGTTTCTTGTCATTTGGGTCTCTTCTGTATTCCTGTCGTCTTAAACAGGCCTGGAGAACACAAAGCGTTTCTTCATCTTAGTCTATGAGCAGATGTGGTCATTTTATGCTTAATTCTAATGAACTAAGAACATAAGTAAATGACAGTCATGGCCAAGAGTTCTTTAGATACCTGTTCCGACTATAAAAATCAGGCATATCGCTCTTCCCTTTGCCCAAAATGCCAGGCCCACAGATACTAGGCATTGCTTTAATAAATCCAAACAACAAGTATACTAAGAGGCATTCTGCCAAGACTTTACCCAACAGTTGCCTTCCCAAAGTAGGTGGTACCTAAATCCTTATTAACTTCTCTTTCTGATCTCATTCCCATCATAGCTCCTCCCTCTTACCACCCCACCAGCCCTACTCCATCACCTAGGATTATGCTCTAATTACAGGATAAGAATGTTCACAGTCAGAGCTCCAGCACATTCCGTTCCCTCTACTAGCAATGCCTTCCATGTTCTCTCGGCAAATCTTGATCTACCAAGAACTGTCTCACATGGCCTCTCTTCTCTTTGCTCTTCCTTGCCTTCCTCAGTCTGACTTAAGTGCTGGAGAAGCAATGTACAATAGTCCCTTCTCATCAGTTACCTATGGTCAACTTTGGCTCAAAACATTAAATGGAAGGTCCCAGAAATAATTCATAAAGTTTAAGTTGTCCAGTGTTCTGAATTGTGTCACAAAATCTAGCGCCGTCCTGCTCTGTCCTACCCTGGATCTGTCTGTGCTGTATACGCTGCCGGCCCCTTCGATGCGGTTGTCAGATCCATCGTGACAATCCCAATGGTTGGGTCCCAGTGTCCTTTAGTTCACTTAACAATGGGCCCAGAGCACAAGGGCAGTGACCCTGGCAATTTCCCTACAGAGAAGTCATATCATTCTTCTATTTTATTATCAGTCACGATTGTTAACCCTTCACTGTACCTAATTTATGAATTAATCACAGATATTTATGTGTAGAAAAAACAGATATATAGGGTTTGGTACTATCTGGGATTTCAGGCATCTACTAGGGGGTCTCAGAAAATGTCCTCTGTGGATGGGGGGGTATCGTGTGTTAACGTACATGAATACACAGTTTGAATTACACCACTGTTCTATAAGTAGTGGGCTTGGTTTTTGAGGCTGTTTCCTTTGCTGTGCAGTGAGAACCCTGGGAGCAAGGACTACCTCTGCTATTTTGAATCCCCTGCATCTAGCATTTAATGTGAGTTGAATTGAATTTATGCTCTGAAGGGAAATCTTAATCCCCAAACACAAAATAATAAAAATAACTAATAGAAATAATTTCCCCATTTTTCTTGACAAACATAAAATAAAATCTGGTACTGAAATACTTCTCTGATACTAGGACTGAACAAACCCAAGACAATTGTGTGCCACAGAGATTTCAGCTGCTATTTTATTTTTAAAACCTTTATTTTCATTTTATTTGAAAGGCAGAGAGATAGAAAGAGACCCAGAGACAGAGAACACCCATCCGCCAGTTCATTCCTCAAATGCACACAACAACCAGGGCTAGGGCCGGCCGAAACTTGGTACCTGGAACTCCACCCACGTCTCCCATGGGGCTGGCAGGGACCCAAGTACTTGAGTCATCACCACTGCCTCCCAGGTGCATTAGTAGGGAGCTGGGATCAGAAGTGGAGCCAGGACTTGACCCAGGCACTCTGACATGGGATGCAGAAGAGACAAGTGGTATCTTAACACTGCACCAAATGCCCACCCCTCAGCTACAGTTGCATTTTATTTTATTATTATTTGAAAACAGTCTGTAACTCCTCAGAAAAACTGATTTAAAAAAATCTATTTATTTATTTGAAAGGCAGAGAGAGAGGGCGAGTCAAAGAGAAAGGCAGATATCTCCCATCTGCTGGTTCATTTCCCAAGTGCCAGGCCAAAGCTAGGAGCCACGAACTCCATCCAGGTCGCCCACACAGGTTGCAGGAACTCAGGTTCTTGGGCCTCCCAGGCCCATTAGCAGGAAGCTGGATCAGAAGTACAGAGTAAATGGGACCAGAACCAGACACTCCAACGTGGGATGCAGGTGCACCACCATACCTGCCCCCTGCCTGAGATTTTAATTATCAAATAGTAACAATCCTATACTTTATAGATCCAGCGACCCAATTCACCCGTGCCCTGCCAGGGCCAGATTGTCCACTGTCATGAAGCAATCTGGTGTAAGACCCACAATCCTGTCTCTAAAGGAGGCCTGACAGCTCCCCCTTCCTAGCTGGGCTGAAAAATCAAAGTTCTCATCCCCACTTGGTTCTCTCCGTTGGAAAAGGCATCTTATTCGGTGACAGAGTAGGATTTCACCATAACTCAAGCTGTGGGGAAAGCCTCAAGAGAAACAACCTGATACTAACTAAACACGTCCACCTGGAATTGGGCAGTCCGTCACACCGCGGTTACCCCGTGCTTCCCAGCTGGACGGCAGGGAGAGCCCTGGCCTCGAGGCTTGTCCAGAGCAGCCAGCTGGTCACCTGCAGCAGGTGCAATCCCACGTTCCCAGGGGAAAGACAGTTCCACCTGCCTTGCTTAGAAACTGAGAACACTCCCAAATGACTGTTTTGTTTTCTCTCCTTTCCCACGTTAAGCTTATTTTTAAAAAACTGTACAATATAGATGATAAGCCTTCGTAATAAATATAGGGCAGTGTTTATTTTAATAATTTATACAAGAAAGCCCAAAGAATACTAGACAGTAACTATAACAAATAAATTAAACAAGCAAACAAAAAACCCTATTAAATAATAAATAAACCACAATAAACCTAAAAAGAGTCGGCTGGAGAGCTTAACAGAGTTTAATTAGATTGGAGGGCACTTCACTAAGTTTGTGGAAAATGGAATCCATGCATAATTTTTTTCTTAAGATGTACTTTTATGAATTTCTTGATGACCCCTTGTATGCATGGACTTAATTTTTTTTTCTTTTTCACCAAAATAAACTTATTTTTTTTTGATAGGCAGAATTAGACAGTGAGAGAGAGAGAGAGAGAGAGAGAAAGGTCTTCCTTCTGTTGGTTCACCCCCCAAATGGCTGCTACGGCCGGCACGCTGCGCCGATCCGAAGCCAGGAGCCAGGTGCTTCCTCCTGGTCTCCCATGTGGGTGCAGGGCCCAAGCACTTGGGCCATCCTCCACTGCACTCCAGGGCCACAGTAGAGAGCTGGACTGGAAGAGGAACAACCAGGACTAGAAACCGGGCTGCCGGCACCGCAGGCGGAGGATTAGCCTAGTGAGCCGCAGCACCAACCTATCTTTTTGTTTTTTTTTTAAAGATTTATTTATTTGAAAGTCATAGTTACACAGGGAGAGAAGGAGATAGAAAGAGAGAGAGAGAGAGAGGTCTTCCATTCGCTGATTCACTTCCCAGTTGCCTGCAACAGCCAGAGCTGGGCCGACCTGAAGTCAGGAGCCAGGAGTCAGGCTTCTTCCAGGTCTCCCATGTGGGTGCAGGGGCCCAAGGACTTGCGCCATCTCCTACTGCTTGCCCAGGCCATAGCAGAGAGCTGGATTGGAAGTGGAGCAGCTGGGACTTGAACCGGTGCCCACACAGGATGCCGGCACTGCAGGCAGCGGCTTTACCCACTACGCTACAGCGTTGGCCCCTAAACTTATCTTCAAAATCCATTTCCACCCACTGTTTGAAGGATCCTGGAGTGTGTCTCTTTTTTTCTGATTCCTTGGGTGCTGACTTCACACCAAATTTGGTGTCCGGGAGCCGAACTGGCATGAGTGTTGCCGTCCAGAGTGGCAGGAGTCCGTGCCCACCCTAACCTAGCAATACAAAAGGGGAAGGCAGAAGATGCCACTGGGCTGGACGCCAGGGAGCCGGGGGTTAGCCAAGGCAGGCAGGACCGAGGCAGACCTTGTGGGATGCACAGAATTCTTGTGGGCTGAGTGCTTTTTGTAAGCTCTCTCCAAGAATGCATACGGCTTAAATATGTCTTTACCGAAAGGGAGAGGAGTAGATTGATTTGCAAGGTTGAAAGAAAAAAATAAACTCCCTGGTCTGGGTCCTCTCCCCCCCCTGACAGGGAGTAGGAGGACAAACGAGCAACGAGGCAGGCGCTCGCCCGTTCGTTTCCTGGTGCAGGTTGGCCGGCCGCGGCTCGGCCTCAGTTCCAGGCTGGCAGGGCCGAGTCCAGACGGGCGGTCCCAGAACCAGCCAGGGCCCAGCTCGCTGCCCAGCTTCCTTTGTGTTTGTCAGTGCGGCTGTCCTGCGATGGCCAGGTGGCCAGGAGGTGGTGGAGGCTGCGCCCGGGGATCGGGGAGGAGGGAGCGACTTGTGACGCGCCACCGTCAGTGGCTCTCTCACTCTGGACTTCTGTGATGTTCTCTTTCCAGTGCCACGGGTCGGGATTCAGACGGCTCTCAGCACACCTCTGATCAGGTGGCAGACCTGGCCCAGGGCAGTCTGCACACCGCAGCCTCTGGGGAACTTGGCCCTTCCTTCTGGGGCTCCCTGCCCCGCCAGCCCCCGCCGCGGCCGCCCTTCTGCCACCAGCACAGGCGGTCGGCGGCTGCCTTCGTGCAGAAGCTCCCAGGGTGGGGGCGAAGCACACACTGTGCCTCGGAGGCCGCGCCTGTGGGGACGGCGTGGGTGGGTGACTCAGAGTCACCGGATCCTGGGGAACGCGACAAACCCCGCAGTGCCACTTTCTAGCATTGTGACCTTGGGAGACTGACAGGCTGCACTGCTGCCCTCATCTGAGGGGGTGCGGGGTCCCTAGCCTGTGTGTGACACTGTGGGTGGGGCACGACGAGTCCTCTTGGTGGTGGGAGCCGAGGGTCGGTCCCTGGGGGTGGGCAGTGAGGACTGGCCCCCACCATGGCCGCTGGAAGCCCGGTCAGGCTCTCAGCCGCCACTGCCATCCTGTCGCCCAGTTCACTCCTATTTCGAATGTCAGATGTTGCCAAAGCATGTGACTGCGCTCTTGGTCCCAGAACAAGAGGGGCTCTCTGTGCAGGCCGGAGCTTCTGCCTGTCCTGCCCA